TGGTTTTAGCTGGTCAGGCTGGAAAATGACCAACTAAAACCAGCTAAAACCAGCTTGACCAGCCTGGTTTAAGCTGGACAAAGCTGGTTTTGGCTGGGCTCCCAGCCTGGCAAGGGTGGTCAAGCTGGTTTTAGCTGGTCATCTCCCAGCCTAACCAGCTAAGACCAGGCTGGAAATGGCTGGAAATGGCTGGAAACCAGCCTGGAAATGGCCAAAACCTCTCTAAAACCAGGCTGGTCGACCAGCTAAAACCAGCCCACCAGCCTAGGCTGGTTGGCTGGTTTTAGCTGGTCAACCAGGCTGGTTTTAGAGGGGTTTTGGCCTTTTCCAGGCTGGTTTCCAGCCATTTCCAGCCTGGTCTTAGCTGGTCTGGCAGGGAGATGACCAGCTAAAACCAGCTTGACCAGCCTAGCCAGGCTGGGAGCCCAGCCAAAACCAGCTATGTCCAGCTTAAACCAGGCTGGTCAAGCTGGTTTTAGCTGGTTTTAGTTGGTCATTTTCCAGCCTGTCCAGCTAAGACCAGGCTGGAAATGGCTGGAAACCAGCCTGGAAGTAGCCAAAACCCCTCTGAACCCAGCCTGGTTGACCAGCTAAAACCAGCCAACCACCCTAAGCTGTTTTAAGCTGTTTTTTCAGCAGGAAATTCTCTTTGCTTTTGGTATACTTCTTTAGAATTGTCATATCTATCTTGTTACAAAAAATGTAACATCTGTAGTGTTGTCAACAAACACAAACTACATTCAGGCTGCGAATAAGAGGGGTATAGGGGGAATGACCCCCCTAATTAACGCTTGAATCCGCATGAAGGACGTCAAAACAAGATGTTGGGGAGGGTGGGGGGTTGGGGGGTCAGCCCTTTACCAGTAAGAAATAGCTTTATCTGATCTCTAATCTATATCTTAAATATTAATAATTAAAAATGTATAATATAAATATACATTTGACCCGCCTAAAACGTTTTTTTTTTTTTTAACATTGTGAATGCATAATCGCGCCAATCAATGTTAGGAGAAATGTCATTCAGCAGTCTGAAACTGGCACTCTAGAGAGCACCGATAGACATCTTAAGTATTCACAAAACACATTTCTTATAAAATAAGTGTTTATTTCTGCTTGTAGCCTAAAAATTAGACATAATTTGTATAGTTTGACCTTGAGTGACCTCTAAAATGGTCACTAAATATCCCTCAAAACACTTAAATGCTTCTGTTTTATTAATAAATTACATGTAATTTAAATACATCCATACAGTTGACTCACTGAAGCATATGTATTACCAAAATACTAGCGAAAAAAGTTGACCCCCCCTGATCGCCAATGTATAATTCGCACACTGACTGACTGGGGGAAAGCAATTTTACAATCTTATGTCACTTTTTAAAAGTAGCTACACTAAGTAATGTTTAAAGAAAGGTAATATGAATAGTGTTGTGTGTGTGTGTGTGTTTTTTTTTAAGTTTTATTATTTTTTTAAAGCACAACATAAAATTGTAATACATGCCAGGTAGCAAATAATTCTAGCCCAGATGTGGCATAAAGTGGGTACAGCAGACATTCATTTAGCACTGGCATACAGCATGTGAGACAAACATTGCCCTGGTTTGGCAGAGGTGGCACCGTCTTTAAGGCAGCACACAATGGGCCAGATATAAATTGTAGTATTTGGCCCAGACGTTAAAAATATATATGTGGGCCGCGTAAGTTTGGCCTTTCTTGGCCCACATTTGAAGTACATTTCAGTTATTTCTGAGTAAAGAAAACAGTCTACCATGACACAGCAACATATCTGGCCCAATTATGGGTTATTAACTTGGCTGAGGACTGACCCAGATATGGTCCATGTTTGGCCCTTATATGGAAGCCAGACTTGGTCCAGTCATGTACCGTAATTCACTGCGGCATGTGGGCCAAGCAAAAGCTGATTGTGTGGGCCAGATCTGGGCCAGAGAAATTGTGCTAAGTGGGATGCTATTATTTTTTACTCAACAATGATTATGACTGTATCATGACTGTTCATTATATGAACCACTACTGTAGTGTTTTATAATGTATATATTGTAGTATTTACAGCTTGAGCATACTGTTAACTATTGTGAACCATAACTGTTTTTACTACAGTAAACTGTGGTGGGTTTTACTACTGTATAAGATACATCGCAGTATTGGGTTGTTTATATTACTATAGTCGTATTACAACTTTACCTGAGATTAACTCAAATATTTTATTATTATATTGCATTTTCAGATTGATATGATTGTGTATTCTTCTATGTATAAACAAGTTTATGATGAATAATTGCATTAACATCATTTTATTTTCACTCATGTAATCCAGGTGCCTTTTTTTTTTTTGGCTGTTACACAATATTTGCTGTGGCCGTTGCATGTCAAAGGTCTTAGTGACCTCAAAGTCCCTTTAGTTTTTGGTGATACATGCTACTGTCAACTCATTTAGGTTATTGTGAGTTAGCAAGACCTAGCATTTTCTGTAATCTTTCGTTATTATTATTTTTTTAGCTCTGTTTTATTGAGTCTTTGTACTTAAATATAAGTTTTATTATGCTCATATCTTTATTTTATGTACACCCCTGGCATTGTTCTGTATGTCAATCATGCATTAAAAAAAAAAAAACGTTACTATATTTGTCAGTAAAAACCGGAACTGCCGCCCATTCATTTTCAACATCTGTTTCATCCACATTGTCATGCTTTCCAAAAACCACCAGAGGGAGCTGGGCGACAATTTTTTTCCACACAAAATATAGTTATAAATTGATTATCTTAACTGATTATCTGATTATAAACTACTGTCTTTTACTAAACTGTCACAGCTATATATATATATATATATATATATATATATATATATATATATATATATATATATATATATATATATATATATATATATCTTTTTAATTAATTATTAATAGTTAATTTGTTTCTATTGCTAAGTTTTGGTTTAAGAACAATAAATTGCTAACTTTAAATTACTACAGTAATAAATGTGGGAAATAATTAATTAAAAAGTTATTAGAAAATTAAGCAAATACACACTATTTAATCGCTTGAGTAAAAATATATATTTTATATACTATATATATATATATATATATATATATATATATATATATATATATATATATATATATTCATTTATAATGAAAGAAATAATAGCAAG